GAGACGCTCCCTCCAGTGCCCACCAGGGGGCAGTGGAGCCCCAGGGGAAAAGCAGGGCCAGGCAGTGGGGCCACTGGATGGGGGGGCTGAAGGGCACAGAGGCTTGGGAACAGCCTGGGGGTGGGGAGTCCCTGCCTGTCAGCAGCCCTGGTGGGTGGGGGACACCGAGTGTGTGGGCGTGCATGCATGTGGGTGCATGCATGTGTGTGCATGTGCATATTTCCATGCGTGTGCCTGTGTGTGTATGTACATGCATGTATGTGTGCACATGCGTGTGTGTGTGTGTATAAATAAAAGACAGAGCTACGTTTTTCACATTCCTGAAGTGTAGCTTTTAAGAACAATGCCAAAAAATGTGAGTTGGCCACACTGAGTATGTGGATGTGCAGGTGTAGCACGTGTGCGTGTGTATACTCATGGATGTACACATGTGTCTGGGCAGTCAGCTTGGGCACACCTCCTCGGCGTGGCTGGGTGCTGGGACTGTGGGCAGGCCTGGCCCATGTCACTTGTGTCCAGACACTGGATGTAAGTGCATGCGTGCCCTCATGTGCTAGGTGGCACAGGGTCTGTGATCAGGGTGAATGCCCCCTCCCCTACCCCATGCACTGGCTGCCAGAGCCCTGTGGGCAGGTGCGAGGCATGTGCCAGCTGTGGGGATGAAGCTGCACATCTGGGCGTGGAGCCCTGGGGCAGCAGCAGCGTCACACGGGACGGAGCAGGGAGGGACATCTCAGCCCCCAACCCTGGGCCTGGCCAGAGCTGACCCCCTCGCCCAGGCTCGGTCTGGTTCTCAGCAGCCCGATTGCCAGACTCCTGCCCCGTCTGGGCCAGAAGACCCCTGCCCGAGGCTCTCCCCAGCAGGGCACAGTCCCTGCCAGCCCAGACCCAGACCAGGCGCGGAAGAGCCTCCCCCTCCTACCCGGGCAGAGCGGGGCGGGGGCCAGGAGACACGGCCGTGGAGGAGAGCCAGGCAGCAGGTGTTCACCCCCATCCACCCCCTAAGCCAGCTTCATCCCTGACTCGCCTGCTGCCTGACGGCTGGGCTCTGACTGCATGGGAGCAGGGCCCCTGGTGCAGCATCCAGCCCCACGTCTCCAGGCCAGGTTTCTGGGGGCGCAGGGAGAGCTGCCCGCTCCCATCACCACCCCGGTCACATCCTGGGCCGCGTCAGCTGTGCGTCCCAGCACAGCAGCCCGTGCACAGGCTCAGTGTGGAGGGCAGCAAGGAGCCTAGGCTCCTGTGTCTCTTCCCAGCACCTCCTGGCCATGGGCAAACTGCAGGCATTCAGAGGTGTGCTCAGCTCCCTGCATGCAGAGCCCGGTGCTCCCTGTCTCTGGTGCCAGGGCCTGCTTGCTGTGCATGGAAATCACGGCCTTTCCCCTGGCCGGGGAAGGGTCTCGTGACAGCTCCGGGTAACTCCATGCCCCGTGCATGCTCCAGCCCCATCCCATTTGGCACACGGCTGACGTCCACCCACCACGTGGCCTGCCCAGGCTGGTGCTACGTGCCTGCCCCGGGCACTGGTTATGGTGTCTTTGCTCCATGGGAAGGGCTGGAGCCGAGGGGCCCCAACGGGCACCGACCCTGGCGGTCACAGGGTGCGGGTAAGGAGCTAGCACAGCGATTCTTGACCGAGGAGCCCTTGAGAGCCTTCCAAGGGTGCCGCAGTGTTAGCGCCGCGAGGTGTACAGACACGCTCTACATGATTAACCCGGAGATTTCAAGCAGAAGCCCAGACTCTTATCAGCCCAGTTCCCTCAGCCTCTCCCCACCAGTCCTGTGCCCCAGCTCTTCCAAGAGGCTGAGGGAAATGGGTTTATTGAGCCTGCAGAAGAGAAGACTGAGGGGGCTTGAATGTCTGCCTTCACCTCCCTGCAGGGGGGCTGCAACATGGATGGAGCTGGGCTGTTCTCAGTGGGGGCAGATGACAGGACAAGGAGCAATGGTCAATTTGCATAAGCAGATGCCATTCCTTGCCAAAGACCCTGCGCAGGGGCAGGGTGCATGGGGCACAACGTGCAGAGAGACCTCCTGAGCCTAGACTGACATTTTACGGAAACAGGACCTGCTTTCCCTGGGGCAGGTTTGGGCGCGAGGTCTGCATCACGTCCAGGTTGAGGGTAGTTTTACGTAGTTTAGACGATGGATGCATCTGAGCTGGTTTGGACAGGGCTGGTCCTGCTAGACGCGACTCTGCAGGCCCCTTCCAGCCCCACTTCTCGATGAGAGCTCTCCGTTGAGGCCTGTCCCCGAGGAAGGGGATAGAGCACAGACCCTGGCTGGGCCTCGCTCCAGCACGAGGGAGACCCAGACAGGCTATTTTTTTTTTAAAATACTTTATTTCTCAATACTGACATTACAAAAAAAATAAAATAAAATAAAATAAAAGGAAAGAAATACAAAAAACCCCACTATAAAACATTCAAGGTCTCAACGAACCCAAGAAAGACACAGCCGCTCGACCCCACGCCCCTCACCTGCGCCTTTGAGCTCCTGAGATCATCATTGCTTCTCCACGGGGTGGCTGCAGGCTTCTGTACACATGATAATTGTACATCTATCTGTACACCGCTGCACCGCATGCCGCGCTGCCCCGATCCCCGAGACGCACGCAGGCGCCTGGAGCTGTTTAGCCAGGAAGCGAACTCAGCGCCAGCCCGGCAGGATCATGAAGGAGACCCTCGCTGCAGACCAAGGGGGCACGATTTTGGCAACGTCTTCGCCCTGCCTCTTCCCCAAGCCTCTTCGGAAGATCAGCTTCCAAACTGTGCCCAAGCGGGGTCATTGTGCGAAGGAGACGCCAGGAGGGGGAGGAATATAAAAATTCTCCCAGCGGAAATCCAAAGTTTAAAAAAATATGGCATTTAAAACCCAACCTGCTCGGGCAGCTTGCCTGGCACTGCTCCTCCCATCCCAGAACGACAGCCTCGACTTGCCCCTTCTGTAGAAAGGACACACACATGCACACCCCTCTGGCTACTCCACCTCCCATGCCAGCAGACCCCACGGCTCTGCTTTCACCACCCACCCTCGTACTCCACGCAGCTCATGCTCCAGCAGACACGACATCCCTATGGCTGAACTGATCCCTGCAGGAGTCAGGAATAAGCCACTCGAGGAAAGCCACAGCGGGCAGAGAAAACCCTCTGCGAGTCTATACAGAAAAGCAGCAATGCAAACTCAACACACCGAGCCACGAGAGCTCACCCCCACGGACCGCTACACCACCCCTTCTGTTCCCTTCATGCATGCACCTCAGCACCCCGCAGCCTGGGATGCCGGTCTAACACGCTCCAAAGTGGACGCTGAGCCGCGACGGCAGTGAGAAGGGTGCAGGGGGGGACGGCCATGACCGACCACTTGGAAGTGCTGCGTTTTCGTACGGCACAGTCCACCCCCCCGGTGATCTCGGCACAGCAGAAAGGACCGCAGCAAACAAGAGATGCTGCGGGCCCACATCAGACAGCAGCTAGGGGGCACGGATGCAGCGTCTCTGCCCCACACGCCTGTGGGACTCCTCGTCTCTTGGTCCCGGCGGGGACCCAGCCGCAGCGAGCTTGGCAGCAGAGACACAAGGCAGGCAGCGGCCGGCGGAGTCCTATTTACAGTGCATGAAGCCGCCCGCGCGAGGCAAGCTGATCCCCGGCCAGAACGGCAACGTCGAAGTGTGCGAGATCAAAACCACGGCATGAGGAACCTCCCTGGGCGCGGCGGCAAAGCTAGACCCCTAGAGAAACAATTGCAGCTGAGAACCGGCAAGAGGTGGCCAGGAGCCCGGGCCCCCGCGCCCCGCACGGCCGGTGCAGACGACAGAGGGCAGGCGAAGGGGGCAGGACCTGGGACAGGAAAGGGGGTTTTTGCATGTGCAAGTGCGCTCAGGCACTTGTGCTCCGCGGAAGCCGCGGCACGGGCAAGACGTATTGCTGCCGGGTCCCGGCGCCCCGCGTCTCTAGGAGCACGGGAGGTGCTGTTTGAGGATCTGTCTCGTCTGCGGCGCTATCCTATCCGGGAAGCGGATTTTGAACTCCACAATCAAGTCTCCCCGCTGGGTGGGGGCTTTGGGGAAGGGCAGCCCTTCCCCTCGCAGTCTCTTCACCGTGCTGGGCTTGATGATGTCATTGCAGGGCAGCGGGATGACCCTCCCGTCGAGCGTGGGGATGTTCACTGTGCAGCCGCACAGCGCCTGGAAGAGCAAGGACACAGCGGTGAGCGTGGCTGCAGGTCCCAGAGCCCATCGCTCCTCCTCCCCCCGCAGCAGACCCAGCAGTGCCCCAGCTGGGAAGCTCGTTTCCTGTCTACAACACTGCAGGGGTTTGTAGACCTGGCCCAAGGGTGCCTGGGTGGGTGCAGGGGTTGGGGACCTGCTCTCCTCCCTCACCAGCCCATCAGGAGCAGGGCAGGTTTCTCTACAGCCCCATGCAGATGTGGCAGGGAGCTGTGCAGCCCCCATGTGCATCTGAACATGCCAGGGGTGTGCCTCCGGCTTGGTAGCCTGCATGTCTCTACAGGGTGCGAGCTGCAGCACCTAGCACTTCCGCCGGTAAGGCGGGATGCGAGAGCGCTAGTCAATGCATGGCATCAGGAAGCATGGCCGAGTTGGCCAGTACCTAGAGCATCTCCAGCCATGGGGCAGAGAGCAATGGGGAAGGTGATGGAGGAGCTCAGTGCCGTGGGAGCAGAACTAAGGGCCCCGTGTGCATGAGAACTGCACAGATAGACACGACCCCAGCCCAGGGCTGCTGCAGGCTGGGACAGACACAGCAGGGCAGAGCTGGCCATGCTGGAGGGTCCTCTGGGGATCTCATCGAGTCCAGCCCCATGCTCTGGTGTGGGGAAAAGTAAATTTAAAAAAAAAAAAAAATCAACCCCATTCAAACCCTCCTGGACACGTCCTTGTCTGACCTGCTCCTAAAGCTCCACAATCAACCCTGCTGCACAGCTACCCAGGGCCCAAAGACCGAGACCCCCTGGAGCAGAGGATGCCGGACCCCGCGCCCACCCCTAGCAAGTGTGGGGCACCTGGACATCGCATGCGCCACGTGCAGATGCAGGGCCACGCTGCAGAGGCGCCAGCGCCTTTGGAGACAGCAGAGTGACCTCTGGCCTTCCCCAAGCGCCTGGGGGCTGGCGAGAAGCAAACAGCAACAGAGAGGACTAAATTTAGCTTGCGGCCGTGCTGCCTGGCCCCTGGCTGCAGCGTGTATTTCTGCTGCTCGTCAGCTGTTGCCCTTGGCAGAGCCCGGCGCTACCCGGTGCATCTGCAGCGTGGGGACCCGGACCGATGGCCGTGAGCCCGCAGAAGCTTACGCAAGCCGAGGCCGGCCCCGCACGGGGCGCACCACGGGAGCGCGAGCTCTGGAAGGTTCTCGCCCGCCCGCCCGCAGCGGGACGCCTGGCCCAGGCCGCGGGGTAGGGTTACATCCGCACACCGCTGCCTCCCGGCTATTTTTGCTGACCGACCCGTAGCTGTCTGGCTGACGGGCCCCGCGCCCCTCTGCCAGCCTCGCTGTTCTCGCTTGCGATTTAGGGCTGTTTGGGTGGAGATTTCGGCTGCAGAGCTCAGCCCTCCCGGCCTCTCCCGTCCAGGTCAGCAGCTGGCACTGACAGGATGTAGCACATGAAACGATCCCAGCAGATGGGAATCTGAGCCCCACGCTGCCTCTCCCTCCTTGCCCCCTTACTCTGGGGCATGCTCCCATTGCCCCGGCCCCGTGTCCCAGGGCTGGGGGAGCTACAAGGAGACACCTCGCTGCAGCCGGGTCTCCTCGGGGCTGCAGGGGCACGGCCTTCATGCCCCGAGAGGGCACCCGCCTGCATCGTGCATAAGCAGGTGGGAGCAGTGACCCCCGGCCCCAGGTTTGGGATGCAGGGGCCCTTCCTTCCACAGCTGCCCTGCATGCCTGAAGCGTGGGAACCGGGGCCACTGGCTCCCCCCCGTCCTCAGAGACTTGTTGGGCTCGAATGGGGACCCCGATGCACCCGGGGGCTGTGCAGCCTCGCTGCCAGACGGGCACTGTGATGGAGGAGCAAATGGCTCTCCAGCAAAGCCCCCAGAAGTGCACCCCTCCTCTCCCCCGGCGTGCAGCTATAATCCCCCAGGCAGGGGCCAAACCGCGGTGCTAGCCCCCCACGCGGAGCTGCAGGGCTCGCCTCCACGTGAGCCGGCAATGCGGCACGCAGCTCCGGACGTCCTTAAATGACTCCGGCAGCTCCCGCGCACGTGGGCTGAGACGCGGCTCCCGGCAGGGGAGGCCGTCACTGGCGATGCAGAGCGAGGTTTCTGGAAAAGCAGAATTCGCTGGAGCGGGGCAGGGAGGGCCAGCTCCTGCCCTGTGGAGCCAGGGGAGGGAAGACGGGATCGGCTGTTTCCAAAGCAGGCAAGGCAGCATCTCCTGAGCTCCGACCTCGGAGCCAACGGGGCAATAAAGAGCGCAGGGAAGCCGCCACTTCCCCCCTTTCCTGTGCACCCTCAGACTAGACACTGCCCATCCTAAGTGGAGGGGAACGCAGCTGCCCCTGGGGCCCGGGCGAAGTGCCCATCGCATCCCCTCCGAGGAGGGCGCTGTGCTGCCAGGGGCTGGATCGCTCCAGCTTTCTTTAGTGGGGGGAAGGAAATGGGTAGGGACAAGCGTGATGGTCCCTAGCCGGTCTTTGCACTCTTCCCCCGCAGCATTGGCTTGGGGCTCAGCCCTGACGCCCTTCTCCTCCTCCTCTCCGGGACAAGCCAGAGCTGGCTCAGGGACCCTCTTCCTGCCAATTAGGCCCCTTCATGTCTTGCCGCCTCCTTGCCTGGGTTTGCAAAATCCCTGGAGCCCTCGTTAGCTCTGGTAAGGGGTGAGGGCGCTCCGCGTCCTCAGAAAACCAGGCCGCCTCCGCTCCAGACGGAGCAGCAGGAGAAGCCTGCACTGATTTCTCCTGCCACAGCCCTTCTGCAAGACACCGGCTCCGATTAAAAAAAAACGCAGCCTGCCAGAAACCGGGAGCCGGCCTTGGCTACAAGGGACACGCAGGGTGAACACCGACGGCAGGAAGCGGAGGGAGAGGAGTAGGTAGATGTTAAGCTCCCCGGGGTGCAGGTCCTCTATTCATCGTGTCTGTACAGCGCCTTGCACGTGCACGCCGTGCCCCTCGCCACAGCACGATGGGGTGAAAAGCACCATCTCCGGCTTCGCCAGCAGTTAGCAAGCTTTGTGGCTTTGTTAGAGGATACCTCTCTGTACTACCGAGCTGCTGGGTAGTAATCTAGGTCAGAAAACCATTGCAAAAAAAACCTGTTGGGAAGCCGCGTGAAGCAAGGGCACCTGAGGACAGCGCCAAGCACCTGCAGCCATCCCCGTGCCGTGCGGTTTCAAGGTGACTGCGTCCCTGTAATGGCAAAGCGAAGCCGAGAGAGAGGAGTCGGGACACTGGTTTTGCTCCAGAGCCTGCAGATCCGTTTCAAGTCCAACGACCCCACAAAACACCCAGAGCACCTTCCCGATCCTCTTCATCCCTACCCGGAGAGGCTGTGCACCAGGATAGATCCTGGTGCCACCTGCCAGGCGCACGATGAACCGCGTCAGGGATTTTGAGGGGGTTCGGCTGCAAATTTAGATTTTTTGGGACTGTGACAGGCCAAGGATGAGCCTGCTGGGACACCCGAAACATGGTGTCCCTGGGTGCTGTGTACGGCAGGTACCCCAGACTGGGGATTTGGGCATAAACCCATACACCCAGTTGCACTGGGGGTGGGGGGCAGAGGGACCAGCGAAGAGACCAGCTCATTAACAGCATCTCTTTTATAACCCTGGGTGCTCTGCAATTAGCACAGGTCCTTGCCCTCCCCCCAGCCCCTTCTTGCCAATGAAGCCAGAGGAGAAACTCACGATGCCGGCTACCAAAATAACTTTGCTGCCCGGCTCAGGTGACCCTCCCATGCCTCCCTCCTGCTGGGATGCAGCTATCCGATCGGGAAGGCAGTGCTGCCCTGGCGAACCCGGGTCCCCGGGGACGGTGCCAGAACCGCGCCGTCGCCGCTTCTCGCTGCCTCCCACGGAGCCGCTCGCAAGATTTGGAGAGCGGGCAGTTTCCTGCAGCCCACATCTCTCTGGGGAAACCCTCCTGGCTGTGCCTCCCACGGCCCTCCTGGCAGCGCAACAGCTGCTCCCGGGGCCGTCCCGCTCCCCGCAGGGATGTGCATCAGCACGGGGCCATTGACGGTCCCTGGGCTGCCAAGACAGGAGCACCCTTTGCTCGGGCTCTCCAGCTTAACCACTGCCCCCAGTCTTGCCCAGCGGGGCAGGGAGAGAGAACCAGTATCTGAGCACTGGGAAAGTCAGGGAGGAGAGGAGCCGTGTCCACTTGCCACCCTTGCCCCCAGACACGGGGCAAAGTCTGCGCTGGACCAGAGCCTCTGGGTCACCCGGCCCGGCAGTGCCCCAAGGTAAGGGACGCAGCCTCCCTGGGGCACAGCTCCTATCCCACAACAGCTACCAGCCCTGGGAGGTCCACGTCCCATGTCAGCGTGCCGGGGCCCTCGAGGCATGTCAACGGAGAGGTATAAGCCCCAAAAAGGTGCTTCCGCCCCTGCCCAGCTCAAGGGCAGGGTCTGAAATCAGTCCTGTGCCTACCAGGGGAGGATGGGGGCTTCCCCCAGGAGCCACGGCAAGGTCTGGCCCCTGCAGTCCCTGCTCTTGCTGGGCCAGGTCAGGCCGCCACGGTTCAAGGCGCTCCAACGCCTTTGAAACACGGGCTTTCATTCACAAGCACGCTGCTGCGTTCCCACAAGTAGCCATGGCAACAGCTCCGTGGCGGAGCCGTGTTCGGAGAGCCCCGCCGGGCACGGCTTTTTTTTGGATGAGGCGAGGTGAGGTGAGGTGACGTGGTTGAGGCAGGAACGAAGTCACGCGAGGGCAAAGCCTTCAGCTTCGGAGGGCTGCGGCACGCCTGCACAACCCAGCAGCATCCTGCAGCCCACGGGGACCCTGGAGGGTGGTCCAGGCCCAGCCCCGGGCAGGGGAGGCTGCATCTCGGCCACCCCAGGCAGCTTGTCCAGTCTCTGTTTGGGAAGAAAACTCTTCAGCCCCCCAGGGCAGCCAGCTGCAGTGTCCTGCCGAGCGCGTACAGGTTGGATCGGGAGCCCCCAACCACCTCCTGCCTTAAGGGCCATGGCAGGCAGCTGGGACGGCGACCAGAGAGATCCCAGCGAGGAGGAGCCTGGAAGAGGCACCTGCACAGCTCACGTGGGTCTGGGGCTCACAGGTCCGTGTGACCAACACGTAGAAGATGTGCACGAGCTAGATGAGCTTTGCTCCGCAAATCCTGCACCTCCCCGGAGAGATCGGCAACGTCAGACAGAGCCAAGCGCCGCACGCATAAGCCTCTGGTTTGCACAGAAGACATGCGGCGCGGAGGACTGGCCTGCAGAGGAGCTTGTCCCCCCCCAAGCAAAGCCACGGGACACCACCTTCCACGCGGCTCCAGCTCCCAGGGAAAGGCAAGTCCTTCGAAGGAACCCTGCTATCGGGGCACCCTCCAGGGGGTTCGTGCCTCTGCCCCCCAAGACCTGACCCGTTGGGAGCTTATTTGGATGAAATGCATTTGAGGATCAACGAACTACCTCTGCCGCTACAGATCCTGCTCGTTAGGGAGACGGACAGCCGCTCCCAGTGGAGATGGACGGCAAGTTACAGCTGCCAGCCGTGGAAGGAGAGATGCAGCTGCCAGCTGGAGCTCATTAAGAGGTAGTTCAACAGCAGCAGCAGTATCCCACCTGCATCGCGCTGGCTCACAGGCCTCTCTCTCCCCACTCCTGCCTCTGCACCGCTGGCTGCTTTGATGCTCTGAGTCCCATCGAAGCAAGATCAGACACTGGGCTGGCCTGGTGCAAGCCCCGATGCCTCTGGGTTGGACCCGAAGGCAGAACGACGGTGCCTGGCTCCAGGAGAAGGTGCTGCGCGACAGACAGCCCCACCTGGGAACCTCCAAGCCCTCACGCCCGTCAGCCGGAGCCCTTAGCGTAGAGTGCTGACATGCAACGATGTCAAGCTGGGGGTTTCCAGGCAAAATGAAACCCCCCAAAATGGGCTGCAACCATCACACTCAGCCAGGATCTCTCCAGTCATTAAACACCGCGTGCCGGAGGTCGAGGCTGGTTCACCTGGCCGTGCCCGTATAGCTTCCCTCCCGGCTCTACCCACAACCTCCTCCACAGTGACTGGACACAGACAATTCAGCATGGCATGCAGACCCTGCCTCAGCACTATGCTCAGGCCCTCCTCAAATGGAGGGCTGTTCCAGGCCATACAGTCTACCCACGCGCTGCTCTCCAGTGCACCCGAGTGGTTTGGGCTCACTGGGCTGGGAGAGCAAGGGAGAGGCAGGGTCACACTGAGGCATGTTCAGAGCAGGGGAGGCTGACCCCTTCTTTCAAGGTAGGAAACCCCCCCCTTCCCCCAGCCGGAGATGGGGCCTCGGTCTGTCCACCCCTCCTCTTCGCTTTCCCCCTGCCCGACACCACCCTCCTCTGCCCGGCCCACGCACCCACCTCTTTGAGGCTGATGGCCGCTGTGTAGACCACGTTCGTGCCATCCCGCTTGAAGTGCGAGTGCGGCTTGTCCTTGAGGATGAAGACAATGTCGGCCGGGATGTTGTCTGGCGTGGCGTCGCCCTCCTTGGGGAAGGTGATTTTGGTCCCTTCCTTCCACCCTCGCTTGATGACAATGTTCAGGATTTTGTCCTCAGTCCGCATGGTGCGCCCGTCGGGGTTCAGCCGCCGCCGCGTGATCTTCATCCGCTTGGTAGAGCCGTGGTAGATCTCCTCCAGGGACACCTTGAGCTCGTGGATGACGGGTGGGTCCTGCACCTTCCGGCGCGTGTGCAGCGGCTCCGGGTGCCGCCGGTGGACACCGCTGAGGCCGTTGAAGCCGAAGCGGCCGAAGGCGCTGAACGGGTCGTCGTCATCGTCGATGTCCATGTCCTCCTGCTCGAAGCCATTGAACATCCGCGAACGACTGCTGGCGAAGAAGATGTCGAAGGGGTTGGAGCCGCCGAAGAAGGAGGCGAAGGTGGCGTGGGGGTCCCCGTGGAAGGTGTAGTGGAAAGTGTTCCCTGAGCTGCCGGAGGAACCGCCACCAGTCTTGAGACCTGGAAGAGAGAGAGAAGATGTTAACCCAGCTAAGCAGGAAGGCACGTCCCCTCTAGACTAGGCATTTCACAGGCTCCTTAGACACTGAGCCCCCCTCAGAAAATGCCAGCACTCATGTTTGGACTACAGAAAACTCCTGGAGCAATTCTTCCATTGCAAACAATTCAGGCAGCCCGCGACAGGGCAGGATGGTTGCGACCCACTGGATTCTTGTTGGAAATCTCTGGGTTTATCCTGTGAAATGTGTAAAGGTATTTGCACGCAGTTGAGACACCCATAAAAGGATCTCAAGACACCCCATGAGGCAATGGGGTCCAGACAACAGCGTTTGCACCGGGAGAAAGAAAACAAGAGAAAGGGCCATGGGTTTCTGGCTGGGAGCGCGGGGGGGAATCCGTTTTAGAGACGGACACCAGACTCCTGAGCCTACCTGCCCCAGCCATCGCACGGAGCAATTCAGCCCGTTAACTGGCTAAATGCCGCAGCTGGGTACCGATTAGGGAACCCGGTGACCATACGGACTAGGCAGTTGCTTGCACTTTCAGACTCAATTAGCCCCACAAATTACATATATGAGCGGTCCCTAATGCCACCCTGACTATATTGCAGATGTCAACAATACGTTACCTCTCTCCAGCCCGGTTCAGCTGTGATCTAATGGGTGCCCCAAGCGCGCGGACGGCCGGGTTTGACAGAGGCGTGTCGAGAGAGTTAGGGAAAGCTCTTAACTCCCCTAGCAACTGCTTATTTGGGACTTTCTCACCGGGTGGCGTGGTGGTCAGCACCCACGTGCTGGCCACCTGCACAAAGGCAGAGGCACGGGGGAGGGAGAACGGCCCTGGGCCCGAGCACTGTGCAAACAGTCGGGGTTCGGGACTGCGAGGGACAGATCTGCTCTGGGAGGTCAGTCGAAGGCATGCAAGGAAGAGGATGTAAAATCCCCAACTCCCAGCAAAGTCCCAGCGTGGGGGAGAACCCGCTCGCCTGGATCTTACTTTGTGAGGCTGGAAAATGTCACAGAAACTGCGTATTTCTTTCTTCCGGTAACTACCTGACTTCCTTAAAGCAAAGGCTTCTCAAGGGTTCACTCTCCCCTCCTTGACTGCACCCTTCATTCAGATCTTGCCTGTAATACAAGGGATCCCCGAAGCAACCTGCAGCACATGTAGGGCTGCAGGCAAACGCCTTCCCGGGCTCCGTTCCTGTAGCCACGCGCTTCGCCAGCCTATCGCTGACCGAGGGGGTCAAGAAAGGCTCAAAGCAGGATGGGCTTTGGGACTCTTTCCAGCTCCCCAGACACAGCAGAGCGCTGGTTCAGGAGAGCTGACACGTTCCCAGCCCTACACCAGGTAACAGCCGGAGGTGCTCATCGGACAGACCCGACAGCTGCTCTTTTCGGTTGCATCTTGATGGATGCTTGCCTGAGGCCTTGGTGTGGATGCTGAGCCTGGCATCTCGCTGCCTCCCTCTGCCTGACAGCAGGGCCCACAGGGGCAGATTTAGCCTCAAGGACCAGAGAATTTGCCCCGGAAGCTTTCAGACAAATGCCAGGGCCAAGCATGACCCAAGAGCTGCAGTGACACGCGAGCACCAGCCCGCCATAGGGCATGCCAGCCCGCTGTAGGGCACTGCGCATGCCCGGTGCCAACCACTGCAGCTTGGGGGTCAGTGTCCTGGCCCACTCCCTGGGGCACAGCTCCTAACCCACAACAGCTACCAGCCATGGATGTCCATGTCCTACTGCGGCCCACGCTGTGGCACGTTATCGGAGAGATGCACGTATTAAACCTCCTTGTGATGGCCCTGAGCTAGTACCGACTGCTCTCAGCAGCCCTGGGCAGCAAGGGGCTCAAACGCCAGGACAAGCCACATCCGGCTCTGCCAGGCCCTTGCGTGGCACCTTGGAGTCCTTGTGCCCCGAGGGCACCTCCGCTAGAGCCGTGCCGCTACTGTTGGCAGCGGTGTCTCCAGGTGCCTGCTGTCCCCTGTGGCCGAGCAGCAGTTCTGGGCTCCTTTCCCACCTGTGGCAGTTCAAACCCCTGCAGGACAGCAACCGAAACTCTTGGAGGGGCACCGGTGGAGAAGGACGGGCTGGGAGAGGCTCCGAATGGCAAAGACGCAGGCTGCCCGGTCTCACACCAATGCTCCAGTGGGCATTGGTTGCATTCTCCTCAACTCTCCCTTCGAATCCACCCTCACCACTGCCAGCCACACGCAAAGGCTTTGTCTGGATGGGAGCTGCCCTTCAACTCATCCACTGCACTAGTGATGCAATTCACGGGCTCAGCCACATGCGTGTGCAACGTGCAGAGGGCGTACGCACACACCACCTCAAACTTCAGCTGCCCTTGATGACGTGCGTAGCTCCATCAGCGCCCGCGTCCCCAGGTGCCGTCATCCCGGGTGCCTCGTATGGGAACGCTTCCCCTGCCACCATCTCAAAGAGGCTCATCAGCTACTTTGGCAAGTGTCTGCTGCGTTTGGCTCTCCAAGGAGAAGATGCAGCTCCACCCAAGAGCAGCAAGAATCCCCATACGAGCCTGTGGGAAGCACGGAGAGCTTCCCACCTGCCCCGGAGGGCACCGAGGTATCGGTGACCCCTGCGCCTTTGCAGCAATGCCCCGGAGGAGCCGGTGCACCTCCCGAGGGGTCTGCATCCCACTAGCCACACCGGCTGTTTGTACCAGGCCTGCGGCTTTTTCAAGTGCTGAACAATTTTGCTGATAAACGCACTTGCTATTCCCTGCTCTCTTGCTCTGCAGCAAATCGGGTTGCGAAATCTTCCGCGTTCGACTAATAAGGCCGCGTGCGGTGGAATGTCTCCTTGCCCCCTGCCAACCGGGAGACAACAGCCGGGACTTGGTTTCAAAACAAGAACCTATTACTTTAATTGGGAAAGGCTTCTGGACATGTAGGTCAGGACGTACCAGAGCAGAGACCAGCGGGGATTGGAATATAAACAGCACCGCTGAACAAGCAGGGGGAAGGGACGGGGGGGCAGGGAGGGCAGGCCGCCAGAGCCCTCGTGTTAATGATGGCCACAAGCAAGAGCTGGTCCCGGGGCACGAAGGGGCTTCCTGCCGCCGGTCTCAGGGGGCAAGTGGTGGCAGCGGGGTGAACTGAACCACACCGGTCAGGGCACCTCTACCACTGACCACGCAGGCAGGGCACCCAGGACATGGGGTCATGTGCCCACACGTGGCTTGGGCCCTCCACGGGGCAGCCAGAGCCACCGCAGTTGGCCAGGAGGGTAGGAAGACAACGCTCGCTCTTCCCAGCTCTGGACTAGTAACCTGGTTTCGGAGGCAGGGATGAATCATGGGGATAAATCCGGACACGCCACCCACGCCTCGGGCGCAGTGCTACTGGCTGCGGCAGAACATCGTTTCCCTGCTCGCCACAGCGTTCGGGAGCTGGGAGAGCCACTGAAGTGGGACGCCACGCGACCCCCGCGCCTCCCCTCCCAACCGGGCTTGGTGCCCCTCGGCCCCTTACCTTCCTCCCCATACTGATCGTAGACGGCCCGCTTCTTGGGGTCACTCAGCACGTCGTAGGCCTCCGCGATCTCCTTGAACTTCTCCTCCGCGTTGGGGTCCTTGTTCTTGTCGGGGTGGTACTTCAGGGCCATTTTGCGATAGGCTTTCTTGATCTCGTCCTCGTTGGCCCCGGACTGGATGCCCAGGATCTTGTAATAGTCCTTCCCCATGACGGCGTTGCTGCCTGCAGCCGAGTACTTATTCCTGAAAGCAGACAGACAGGGCTCTGTCACGCACACACCGGGAACCAGGCGCCGCACCCCGTCGCCCCGCCGCCAGCCATGCTCAGCGCCCCCCCTGCTCCCCCACGAACCGGCTTTGCCCCGAGGGACCGACCTGAGACCCCGCTGCACGCCCGCGCGCCTGGAGCCGAGAGCAGGGCGCCAGGAGGCAACGCGCCTCCGTGCCGCTCCCAGCCCTGCGAGATGCTCCTCCTTTCCGGGCTCCCTCCCCGGCAGCAGCAAGCGGGCAGTGTCCCTCACCCTCTTTGGGGCAGCGCTTCGAGACGTACAGGTGAGAAGTGCCAGGCAAGCGAAGGGCATGGTTAGGAGGATGCCAACAGACCACGCGGAGCTGCGGCCGAGGACCGCTCTCCCCAACCCGCAAGAGGCCGGAGGGGAGTCTCCACCCCAGCCCCACGCAGGGAGAAACAGCAGCAGCAGGTCAGCTTATAGGCACACACGAGCCCGTTAGCAACGAGGGCAGACCCCCCAGCCGTGCACGTGACGTTAAGGGTCAAGCCACACCACTCTCAGACCACCTCGGGCTGGGCGTCTCGGCCTCGCGCCAGCGGAGGCCGGAAAGGCAGCAGGGGCGCGAGCGCTGTGCCGTTCACCTTAGGAGAACTTCAAGCGCTTTGTTCCCCGGAGCGATTGATGTTCAGCTGCGGTAAGTGCTTCTCGCCGTGTAAGAGCTGTAATTTGTGTTGGAAGAAGACAAAGGGATGAAGCCGTTAGACAGAAACATCTTGTGACGGTGGGAGGCTATTTTTAAAAGCGCCTCGAGCCTGGCGTCGATGGCGTTAGAGAATCTCTGGCTCGGAGGGAACGCCGCCAGGAGCTGGGAAGACCGGGAGGCCCCAGGCGACGGCTAACTCTCGCGCCCGCCCACGGGGCAATGAATTGCTGCCGGGAGCACGGCCTCGCCGGACGCGGGTGGGCCGAGACCGGGGAGATGGCCGTGCCTATACTAAAGCATCGGGAAGCCGCAGGTATGCGATGCCGGGGACAGCGGAAAGAGGCAGGCGGCAATGCTCCCCCAGCACCGCTGCTGAGGACCGAAAAGGACCAGTCCTGGGAGAGCAGCTGGGGCAGCTTTGCTGCCCTCCCAGATCTAGCACAGAAGCGATCTGTCGTGCAGGCTCAGGCCTCCCTTCCCAGTGCCCAGAACAGCGCTCCTCCTATCCCAAACCTGCCCCGACCCGTCCTCCATCCTGGCTGGTGATCCCACCACCTTGCAGGCTTGGCACTACTGGGTCCCACCATGGCGGTGGTGGCTGGATGTGCCCGGAGCCCCCAGCACAGCACCTCCAAGCCCCGTCCGTTCCCTCCTCCATCCAGGCCCCCATCACCGGTGTCCTCAGTGCAACTCGCTTGACTTCACTCCTATCCAGAGCATCTCAGGGCAAACCCCAGCCTCACCCGCCGCCATGCTGCTCCGACCATGCCCAGACCCTCGCTTCTCCATCGGTCCCGAGCTCCCCGGTGCCACCCACCAAGTGACACAACCAGCCTCTGCGTGCGCCTCCATGCCAGCACCCTCAGCCACCAGGCCCGCTGCCTGCCTCCTTTGCAGACCCCATCCGGAAGGCCTGCGACCCCTGGCTCTCCTCTCCAAGGGGTGGGAACAAAGCCGCGAGCAAAGCCACATAGGAGGATGCTTGCTAATCTGTCCCCGTTGCATCCCATCCTCTCTCTAGGTTGTTGCATGCTTGGAGGGGAAGTACTTTGGAGCAGAGACGATGTCTCTAGAGCCACGAGACACCCCGGGCTGTATAAAATTAGGGCGTTTTTCTTCCTGTCGCTCAAGCGCAGCAACAAAGAGCGACAGCAGCCACCGGTTGGCATCAGGTAGAGGCTTTCTCCAGCACGAGGCTGGTCCGGCAGCTCCCTCGTTCATGGCAGTGTTGCGCGACGGTCTGGGAGATGCCCGTGGCTCCTTCAGAGATCTGCCCACTAGGCATCAGCTGGCTCCCAACAGCTTCGGAGGGCGTCGCTCTCTGTCCTCGTATCCCAGCGCTGCCACCATACGCTGGAACCCAGCCCGCGTCGGTCCGGACAACCGCTCCCTCCACGTCGGACACAGGCAGCGCACGCTGCGTTAGGGCCCGACGACTAGGCACCGGTTCTTCCATTGGTGGCTGGCGCAAGCGCGTGGCAGCGACGATCGAGGGGAGAGGAGGACATGGCTCATCGTTTGCAGCTGGTCTCGCTCCTCCCTTGAAAGCAGCATCCTCGCGTGCCCGAGGGGGCGGGGAGGATGCTTGCACAGAAACCGTGATTTCCCCCTGGGCGGTGGCGCTGGCAGCAGGGAGTGATCTAGCGAGTGGCACGTCCAGCCGGCACCATGGGACACCCCTTGCCAGGGGCGGTGCATCCTACCGGCATCCTCGGGTGCCTTCCAATGCCCGTGCCAGGCGTGCCCGTGGATGCACATACAACCTGGTTCTCTCCATTGAGGGGATAACGCACGGGGACCAGAACGCCATTGACAGTTAAGTCGAACTTTTGGACCCGGCTCCGGGAAAGCGATGTCCCTGGCCTCGGGGATCCAGCCTGCCCGCTCCACGCTCCCAGCTGATGCAAGGTCCGGGCTCTGCTTCCCGCGTCGCCAGTGGGGCAACGTCCTACTCGGGGGCCTTGAGCAACACCACCGCGCCCCTCTCAGCTGGCCAGAAAGCTGCTGCAAGCCTTGCTTCCTTTGCGCCCACTCCTTTCTCCCCAGAACCACTTGCCTTCGCTCTCCATGGCCCATTCCCCCCATCCCCGCCGGCGTCATGCCGACTCCCACTCCCAGACTCCCCTGCTGCTCCCTTCGCGCTCCCCCTTCCTGCGAGAAGCCCGAGACCCACGCCGCCCACCCTCCCCTTGTTTCCCTGTGTGCCCCGGGGCTCAGCATCTCAGTAGAAGCTATTCAGAGCAGGGTCCATCTCTGCATTTGTACAGCGCCAGGTGCAGCGGGTCCTGGTCTGGGGGCGGCGCTCCGCAGCCCCCATAAAGAACAGGCTACTGGGGTCCCACCCCCGTGCCCTGGCACTGCCTTTCCCAAATGCTTCGGAAGGAGATGCGTTTCCTGCCCCACAAGCAAAAGCCACGTGGTGCAGAAGGCAAATTTCTTCCTGACCCGACGTCGGCTCAGTCAGTGCCCTGAAGCGTGAAAGCCCTGAGTCTTATCCAGGCGGGTGTGACTTATCCGGGCTGCTTGTTTCCGACCCCTTGTACGGCGCTCTCCCCTCCGGGGCCTGACCCCTGCCCAGGGCGGACGCCCCAGCCCGACAAGCAGGGCACCCTCAGACCAAACTGCAAACTGCACAGAGCTCCTTTCTACCCGCCCGCAGCCGAACGTCCTTGGACACGAGAGTCCCTGGCCAACACGCTCTCCCGTCAGCTGTGCGAGCATAACGCCTGCCGTGTTTGCCGGAGGTCCCAGAGCCAGGCACGTCCAGGAAGAAAGCCGGCTGCTGGGCTTCTCCACCTAAGGGCTGGGACTTACAGCTCGGGAGCCTGGCTGCACGCACCGCGCTGCCTTCCAGTCACCTTGCGGCTGCTTTCCTGGGCTCAGGCGCAGGCAGGAGGAGGAGGAAAACGTACAGCAGCCTGGGAACCTTTTGTCTGGCTACTGCCCGTGCTCAGGCAGGTTTCTCTCTCTCCGGCACAGCATCGGAGAGAAAGCGGCTGCAGAGACTCCCCCCTCCCCCACCCCCCCCCGGTGATGAATGTTACGGGACCCGGCAGGTCAGCCGGTGGGCTCGGCGCGCCTCCAAGGCAGCGCTCATGTGAGCCGTGGTAAAACACGACTCCGTCCCCAGAGAGCTGCCTCCCACCTCC